CTCAGCCTCCCAAGTAGCTGGGACTACAGGTGTCCGCCACAACACCTGGTTATTTTTGTTGTTGTTGCAGTTGTCTTTGTTGTTTTAGCTGGCCCAGGCCAGGTTTGAAGTCCCTAGCCTTGATGTATGTGGCTGGCACCCTACTCACTGAACCATGGAGCACCCCCTGTAATTATAAATTTATATGCATGTCTCCTCTCCTAGACAGTGATGCCTCTAGAATAGGTCTGGGTATTAGTTGCTGTGGGTGCCTAACCTGGCCCCTAGCCAGTGGTGGGTTCTCAATGCATGTGTGTTGACTTAGTGAATAAATAAATGTCTGGCTAACTGACAAAATAAGCAGTCTACACAGAGGGGACGAAGGCATAGAGTTGCAAGGGGAGAAATGAAGCTCTGTTCTCTTCTTCCTGCCATCCCCAGCTATGGAGCCAACCTGAGCAAAGGCTGCTGCTTGTGGCCAAAGGCCATGATGTGCCTTGGACTATGCCTAAAGTCATGTGTCTCCAACCATAGACCTCACATGGACATTTCATGCTGTCTGGCAATCCCATTTTCCCCATTAAGCTTGCTTTGGTACTCACCAAGATGAGGATTTTGTACCATCTCTCTGTAAACCTCTTGTTCCTGTCTCCCTAGTTCTCCAGAGGACTTAGCAGTCACCAGGCAATGGCTCCCTCATCTCCCACCACCAAATCTACAAACCCACCTGCTGTCGTCATGTCTTCCTTTGACCATCTCGTGATGATGGGAAATGTGTCCCCTCTTCCTTCTGGAAACCATCCCCTCCTACCTTCTTGAATGTGGCCCCTACAGGTCCCCTCACCCCTGCACCAGCAATCTTGCCTCTCATCCAGACCATGTCCAGTACACAGGCACACTATAGCTGGGTTCATACCCTGGCTCTGACACTGAGTATCATCATGACCTTAGACAAGTTGTATAACCTCTATCTGTGAAATGGAGATAATCAGAGTATCTTACTTTCAGGGCTCTTGTGAGGATTAGCTAAGACCAAATACATGAGTACTAGACAGTATGCCTACCCCAAGATAATACTCAGTAAATCTTAACTGAGATTAAAGTAGTATTGCTAACAGGACTAAGCTGTTCCCTGATTCACATTCCCCTTCCACCTACTTATTTCTCTGCTACTTGTCACAGAGAAACTTTTTTTTTTTTTT